ATGCTGAGCCTGAAACTATATATAAATACAGCAAAAAATATTGTCAGAAAAACTTTTACTAATCTGAATCAGATCAAGGTTCATGTTTCTGTTTACCTAGCAATATTTATGTCCTTGTCTAACAGCAGAGGACATCACTAACTTCAGATTTAACTGCTTGTGACTATTTACCTGTGTGGGTTACTAATTCTTCATCTTGATTAAATACATAACAAAGAGGTATATGGCTATGATCTGCCTGAGTGTGCCAGCAGAAGTGTTGTCTTTTTTTTTTTTTGTCAATTTCTAACGTATTTAAGTACTTACACATGCAGTTTTCACTGTTATTGAGAAACCAGTCTACCTGCTTTCTGTGAAAAACAGTGCAACCAACTCTGAAAGGCATCAGTAAGTAATGCTACAAAGTTAAACTGTTCTGTCTTCTAGAACAGATGAATGGCTCTCAGCAGCAATAGATTGCTTAGAATATCTTCCAGATCATATGGTGGTGGATATTAGCAGAAATCTGCCTGATCAACCAGATAAAGCAGATACATGGAAACTACTGCTGTTTGAAAATATTGGTAGATACTACAGCCAAAAAAAGGAGCCGCTGTTAAGCTATGCATCTGAAATTCATTCAGGAATTGCAGAACTATTAGGTAAGTAAAATAAAGCTGTGCTTCTAAACTTATGTGGTATATGTACTGACAAACGGAGTATTTATTACAGCAGCCAAGCTTGAAGGTTGACTTCTGCAAGTTTTTTTTAAACTTCTAGTCATTAAGACTGCTTTGAAATTTTGGTCCTGACTATACACGGTTCTGTAGTTTTTGTTCAGGTATATGTAGAATGGCAGTGAAACCAGAGTGCTATAATTTGGAAGTGGTTAATATCCATGGAAATTAAATGTGGCCTAATATTAAATATTTAGGCCATAACATCTAAACTTAAAGCTGTGTGGAAGCTTTGTACCCCATTCACAACTCTCTCTTCTTTTCCACAGAAATGTGCGTTTCTTAAATTTTACATTTAGACAGCATTTTAGAAAGCTTCTGATGTTTTAGTCATCAATTAACTTAATCTCATCCTTGTTTTCCTGAATTTTCATCCTACGCTGCCTTGATTATTTTTCTTGTTCCATGTTGGTGGGAATATTTTTGCATTTATATCCCATTCTTCCTCCCTACATGATAAAGGGAAGATACTAGCACAACTAACCTCACTTAAATAATTCAGACATCTAAAATGAGTATTCTGCATAGTAAGGACAATTAAAACTTAGCAAAGCTCAACAAAATGGTTTGCAATTAATTCATCAAGCTCCCACTTCTTTATTTCCACATCAAGAAGTCATTCATTTTCTTAACAGAATCATTTTACTTTAAGTATTTCGCATTCCATTCAAGATGGCTGACCTGTAATTGAACTTAATTGAAAGTGAGCTTTCTTAAATATCCAGCTAAAAGCCTGGGTGTGGACTGTTCTCAGACCGTATGCAAACAGCTTTCTCCTCAGCCTGTGAGAAATTTTTGTGAGAATGAATTGCTTTGTTTGACCAGTTCTATTTAGAGAGATGAACATCTGTTCAGTGGCTAATTTAGGTGGTTTATTGTAACATTTATTTAAATAAATATGGCAAGAGATACCTTTGTCTCTCCTCAGTGAATGGGAAGATGGAGCAATCTTTAGAAGCTCTTCAGCTCTATTTGAAACTTCTAGACAGCCAAGTCAGGGAGGAGTTCAGAAGACTACTGTACTTCATGGCTGTGGCAGCACATAATTCTGAGCTCAAACTACAGAAGGAGGTAAATGTGTACACATAACTGTTACATGTTGCTTTACATTTACTGAAATCTAGAAGTCCCAGATACGTATCAGAAAAAGCATTTGTAGCTTAAATATGTGACTACAGGAAAAACAATGACTAGAAGAACAAAGGCAATGCCCTTCTTAAAGGGGGAGACTAATTCTCCTCTTCTGGTCATTATTTCACACTTTTCTTTAGAGTGACAACAGGATGGTTGTGAAAAGAACTTTCTCTAAAGCTATTATCAACAATAAAACCTTATCCAGAGGGAAAACTGACCTCCTGATCTTGTTCCTTGTAGATCACCAAAAAGATGTGTTAAAGGTAAGAGCTAGAAAATTACCAGGTTTTTGTTATCTTGTATGCTTATGCAGAATTGCCTTTTTCTAAGCTGCTGTTTCATTGTCTTATTTTTCTATTCAAGATCCCAGGGACACTGCATAAGATGGTCAGCAATAAACTGGTGGCTTTGCAGAAAGGGCAAGATCCTAGTAAGATAACAGGTAACAGTTTAAACTGAAATTTTTATTCTTGTCATGCACCCAAATGAGAAATAGAAGGGACTGAGATGATGCGAAAAGACTTGCTGTAATGATGACTAATTTGACTCTAAAGGAAGATGGGTCTGTAGAATTTTGAGGGTGATTGAATGTGGTGTTAACTATCTGAATGTCTTGTGTTTCCTTTTAGGCTATACCTTTTGCCAAAAACTTGATGAAAGAGAGTATCGCTCCAATACAGAAAAGACCACAAAAGATGAGCTATTATCTCTACTGAAAGCTATTGACGAAGATTCAAATCTCTCTGACAAAGAGAGAAAGAGACTGCTAGGTCAGTTTCACAGTAGTAATCCAAGTATTTTTATGCAGTATTTTGGAGACAGAGTTACTAATATGTGTGTTTGACTTCAAATGTAGATTACTTTCTATACTCCAGTATTGGAAACACTAATATATTTGTAAATCTTTTGTATTCATGTATCTAATAAAATTATTTTGTTGAAATGGATGGAATTTATACAATTATTACAGAAGCCAATGGTACCTGAGTTTAGCCTGTACTTACAGTTTAGCTTTACTCATTCTTCATTGCTGTAGAACCAAAATAATCCTTCCTTTTCCTCATCTGCAGACAAGTCTGACTCCCTCTATTCAAGTATCAAAATTTCTGAGATGGGAAACACCTCTCCATGAACAAGATCTCTGCTGCCTTTTGCCCCAGCACTGAATTTCATGTTGAACATTTTTTCTAATTGGCCTTGCATTATGTGACTGTCATGTGGCACTGATCTTTGACTTGCTGTGTAATTGACAGAGCTGAATAACATCATCTGCTTGATATTCCACAGCTTTTCCTCAAGCTTGCCAGCTAACTATACTGTGTATGTATATGACAAGTTACTGTTCTAAGTAATATGGCACCGTAATCAGGAACTACCAGGGAAGGTGACTTTCTCCCAGATGAATCCTAGTTTGTGCCCTGAACTCCCATTGACTCTCCTGGGATGGTAGGGATATTCTGGACTTTTAAGTCAGTCTGGCTTTGGTTGCCATAGAACATGCTGTTTATGGCTAGTTATCTTCATCCCTGCTGTGATTTGCTTTGTCTGTAAGGCTTACTGATGTCACCAGCTGTGATTAGAAAAGAGCGGGAACAAATGAGAGGCCTTTGGGTTTTCTTATGGCTGTATATATCTATGCCTAGTCTACAGTGGAAATCCCAAGCTGTGCAACACAGGCAATTGGAAATAGGAGAATGTACAGCATGATCAGAGATCTAATTTTGACTCTTGTGGAGTTATCTTTGGGATGATGCCAGCAAAACTTCATTACAGTTACTACTGCAAGAAATAACAAATTTTGTTCCATATACTGTGTCAATAGAGCTCTGTTCTCCTTTATTTTTGGGGTAAAAAGCTAGTTTAATTGGGATCAAAGGTAATGTAATCATAAAAAAGTGCTAATAACTGTCACAAACAGCTCACTACATGTGTTTGTAGGAACATAATCCTATTTGAGATACTACTCTGTAATGTATCACTAAATAACTCTTCAGTCATTAGTGGTGTCTTGCCACTGGTTATTGCTTGTCTGGAGTACTTTCTCAAAACGAAATGATGACTTGGTGTGCAATAGGACAATGTGTTACTGTATTCTGAGGGAGGAATGAAGACAAATGTTTAAGAGGCTTATTCTAGTCAGCTAGAGAGGACTTCTGAAAGATAATCAGTTCTTGAAAACTAATACTCTGTATGTGGGGAAATATAACTCTTCAGTTGTTATTTTTTTGGTAGTTCTTAGTTTTAACTGAAAACATTTAATTATAAATGCACGTTCTCATAAATATTTGCTTAACTCACACTTTAATATGTGGGGGTCAAAAGGCAGTTCCTCATTCTTAGGATTTCTGATCATACTTTTCTTAAGTTACTTTGGGTGCTGCATCAGTTGCCTGTTCATCATAACTAGATTCCTTTTCTAACTCCTGATTTGATGTGCTGTAACATCTCTGCTAAGAGAATGAGATTTCTATCTTGAAAACTTGTTCCTGCCTCTGGGCAGTGCCTGCTGTAGCATGAGTTCTGAATTACAGGTAGTGCTGCACTGTGAGTCAGGGGTTGGCCGTTTTGCCAAGCTTGCTCTCAGGCTGCTGAGAAGCAATCTGCAGAGAAGAACCAGGAGCGATGTTCAGGTGTGGTTGCTGGTGGGTCCCGGGCAGGGCCAGAGCAGCCTTTCCTCTGCCTGGGTGTGATACAGATCATCCAACACTACCGAAGATTCATGTTTCATGGAAGGGACTGACGGTCAGTGGGAGCTGGATAAGGTGTCTGTAAGTGAATATGCCCCAGCAACAAGCAGCCATGGCTTCTTTTCCTGGCTGCTAGGTGGATTTAATCTAAATAAGCACAGTGCGATAGGGGCAGACACCTATTTATCTGCGTCAGTCAAGGGGTGGCCTGGAGGTTGCAGCTCTTGCTCTGGCCCGGCTGTAGGGGCCTGCTCCGTGTTTGCTACACAGAGGCACCCCCCCCACCCCAAAAAAAAAAAAAAAAAAGCGGCGGTGCGCCACAACATTGAGGGTTATTCTTACACCCGTGGTACAGAAGAGGGTGGATGGTGCCCTACTCCCCCTCCCTCGGCCCACTCTGGGGGGAAAATAACAAGCGACTCTGTGCCCGGCGGGCGGCAGGGCCCTCGCCCCGCCCCGGAGAGGCGGTGGGAGCCGCTGCGGCCCGCCCCTGTGCTGGGCTGCGCGTCGGGCCCGGCTCGCACCGCTGGCCGCTCCGGGAGGGCCGGTGGCCGCGGCTCCTTCTCCGGGCGGCGGTAAGTCCCGGCCCGGGGTTAGGCGGCGGGACCCCGGGGCGGAGGGCGGGGAGGTGAGGGGCTGCCGCGGGGCCTGGGGCGGCGGGGAGGGCCCCGGGCCCGGCAGGGTGAGGGGGCTCTGGGGCCGGCGGGGCCTGCTTGCTGGAGAAGGTGGCTGGCAGCCAGTGCTGGCCGAAGGAGGCTGTTACATCGCCTCTTCTCTCCGTCCCTCGCCCGTTTGGCGTCTGGAAAACCCCCCACGGCTGCGCTACAGGGGCTCCGTGTGGCCCAGTTATGAGCCTCTGTGGCATCTGCACGGGGAGCTGCTGCTAGCACCCCGGCTGGGCAGTGCAGGGAGAGCGCCGTGAAACTTCACAATCCCTGTGAAAGTGTTGCAGGAAAATTGATCCCCGTTTGTGGGGAGGTATGGTAACATTGCTGCTGTGTGGTACGGTGTTTTTGTAACGGTATCTTGTGTGCTGTCTTTTGGTAGACCCTGCTGATGGACCAGGACTTTCAGGGCCTTGCACAGAACAGGCTGAAGATAGGGAAAATGATAGAGGTTCACAGGCGTCCCTTTTAATTTGGAAGAGGGACAGAGGACAGGCTGTAGCTTCACCACAGAGAGCTGAGGTGGAGCTTGCCTGTCAGTGGATTATGAGGGAAGGTAGGCTGTGATGTGGCAGGTGAACAGAGGGTATGGGGGAGAGATCAGTGTTGGAATGAAGCTTGAAGAAACGTGGCCTTCAGGGCTTGTGTGTTTGGCCTGGAGGTAATGGAAATTGTTGAATCTTATGTTATACAGAGCAGTGGGGCCATGCTTGAAGTTAAGAGGAACTGCTTCGGCCTAGCATGTACTCCGCAGAAGCACAGTGAAGTTTATTTAATGCTAGTGTGCATTAGATGATTTGAGGACCTTTGATGAAAAGAACCTGTGGGAAATATTTTGTTTAAATTTGTTGGGTTTTCCCTTGCACTTCTGTTTCTATTAAAAAATAAATTGAAGGAAAGTGCCAAGAAGTAGACTTTGCTCTATTAAGAGGCGGATTTGTTTCTGTGAAAGGAAAGATGATGATTGGGCTTTTGGAAGAGGTATTGTCAAGCTTATCTACCAAGTGGAAAGAGGATATGTTCTAGATGTGTTCTGGCAAATAATAGTAGTAATCCAGTAGAAAAGAATAGACTATTGTGTACTAAACCAACAAGTGTGCCTGTTTACCTCATCTGCTGAACAGTCATTTGGTAGAATGGTCCAGGGGTTCTTGTATCCACTTTCTACAGCTGAAATAGGACTGTTTTAAAAGAAATGGTAATTAAATTAAATTAAATTGTTGGATTTGAGACTGTAGCACTTGATCTGCCATTTTATGGAAGGTGATACTTGAGGATGTAGTCTGCATGGTAGGAATGGTGGCCTGGTGGGCAAAGCTGAGGGTAATAATGAGACTGATTGTCATCTTGGCCCTGTCATTTACCTTCTGTGAGTCCTCAAGCAACTTAACTCACACCTCAATTTCCCCTCTGTAAGTAAGGTGTATTTTTCTACTTTTCTAAGGGTAGTGAGGAGGAAGTGTGGTCAGAGGTTGCAAGGCACAATTAAGTGTCATGTGCATTAAAGAACTGAGCGGGTCTTAGTTGAGTCATCTTTGTGCTTCAGATTTTGTCTTCAGGAGGATGCTTTGTGAAAGAGAATGGATAGGAAGAACAACTGTCTAGTCTGGTTGAATGAATGTGGAAGCTTTAAAGATAATGCTTTTATTCTATCCAAATTCAACAGCAGGTTTTCCTCCTCTGTTTAACCAGTCCTATCTTTTCAGTTGCAACTGTTGCTATGATCTTCTCCATTAACTGCTCCTTTATTAACAGAACTACTCCTCCTCTTGTTGCTAGAGTGTTTGCAGTAACAGTCCTTTTTGTCCACCAGACCAGAGATCCACGTCTTCTGGAGCATGTCACTGGTTTCCCACCTGCATGCTGCTTTGGATTCCTTGCGTTACACCTAGTTGGAGGCTCCTGTGCCTTAGTTAAAAGGGTGGCAATATGACTTTAGCTCTGCACAGACTACCACTTCATTGTCCCAGCTGGGATTGTCTGTGTGTGTGAGAGGGAGATGATCAAGCATTTGGAGCAGGGACATCAGTGATGCTGTTCCAGCTAGAGGTGGAGGCTAATATATGGCTAATATAACAATACCTGTACTGATACCTTGTTTTTTTTTTTTTTATGTGATTTATCCCATGCTTATTTTGCTTTGTTTTCTTTTTTAAAATAGAAATCACACAGTGCTGTGGACAGGTGTTGCATGTTTTTGTGTATCTCATGCATCTAGCAAGATGATGATCCTGAGTCATTGTTGTAGAACAAAACAATTTCTTATATGCACTGAGCTTTCCAGCTGTCCTGTAGAATCACATTGGTGCAATCAATTTAGGCACTGATGGAGCAGGGTTAGTTATTACAGCTGTTGTATGAAAATAAAAAAATCTCACTACTATGTTTTATATTTCTACACTGTTGCTTGCTTATGCTGCATCCTCTTCAGTGTAGTCTTTGACACTGGAAGTACTTTTCCCTCATAGCTGTGAGGTGCTGCTGGAGGCTGTAGCTCTGAGAGCTTGTTTGTTTCAAATTTTGAAAGTGAGGATGGTGACATCCTATGTGAAAGAAGAAGTTGTTGTTTTTCCAGGAGTTTTCTTTTTTTTTTTTTTTTTTGAAAGGCAGACTCTTCTGGACTTCCCACTTCACAGAGCATGCAGGTTATTGAGTAAGAGACATCATATCCTCTCTAGTAGATTTTTGTAAAATCGGTATATTTTATGAAATAGAGTAGCTTCCTGTATGATTGAGAGTTTTCAATGGTAAGATGTGCAAATGATGTTCTTTGGAGGGAAATTTGAATATGAAATACGTGAAGATAATGAATGGTGAGACATGCTTTTCTAATGGGAATTTTTTCAGTGTAACTTTGGGTACATTGTAGGTATCTGTGAGGTAATATAAATATTATTTAATACTGAATGTTTAATAAACTAATATTTTAAATGCTATAACTATGTTCTTTACTGTCTTAATGTGTGGGGTTTTTTTTAAATAATCCTGATATTTTACTCATAAGTCATGACTCTTGCATGAAATGAAAATATGGGAGTAGAATTTTATATTTATCTCTATTAATTTTCCTGCTTCTTAATACTTTGGGATGGCCCAGAGTGAAAACTTAAGTTCTGAGCATTTGGAGCAGATCATAATTCAGGAGTACATTATGTTCAGGAAGATTTATCATTATGTAGTGGGCAAATGTCTCATTTGACATAATCTTTTTGTAAAACATGTTTGTAATACTATTCTGAAGGTGGTTTTCACTGCTTTCCTATAAGCAATGCTGCGAAAAGAAAAATATATTTTTCTTTCTCATCTATATGCATTATGGTGAGGGAACAGTTTCAGATTTTTGAGAATTTACTAGGAATGCAGATTAAGTAAATGGTAGCTGTGCTGTAAGCATCCCATGTTATGTAAGATGGGCAGTGAGTCATTGATTGAGTCCAGGTTCCCTACCATTATGGGAATGACATCATATAATTCCTTATAAGTCTTCTTTAATTCTTACTTTTTCTTAATCAAGAGAACTCCTGGTGATGTTTACCCACTCAGCCATGTCAGAAAATGCTTATTCATTCCCTTTTTATTTTTTTTTTTCTTCTGAAAAGAACCAATTGAAAATGTCTCAGAATCCTGACAAGCCACATTCAAGTGAAGAAAAGTTGAGTGGTTTGGAGGATGGTCAAGAGGAGAGCTTGGACAACCCAGATCAGTCTATCAGAAAAAGGATACGACAGAGTGCTCCAGGGTTACACAGAGATGATACACCAAAGTGTAAGCTAAACTGCTTTATAAAAAGAAAAGAAAGTACTTTCTATAATTTTGTGGTGGAGACAATCCTAGCATTTTATAGCATTCTGTGCAAGTTTGACTGTTTTGCAATTAAATATTGTGTGGCTCCCGATCATTTGATTTGAAACTGTTTGTAGCACCTTTCTCTCCATTTTGTTTTAGTACTCAATTGTACATAATAAACATGTTGCTCTGAGCCACATACATCTTAAATACCTTTGCATGTCTGTACTCATGGAAAGGATAAGCACTATTCCAGTATATTCTAGCTAAACTGTTGCTGCTGCTTGCATTATCAGCTGAACCTTCCAGATTGTTGCAGCCTCTGTTTCTACTGAAGGGCAAGGAAGGCTGTTAACAACAAAGTGATGTCCTGTCATCCCCCTCCCAATACAGATGGAAAGTTGTATGTTTAATTCTAATATTACTTTTAGTGTCAAGTAGGACTGCATATTTTAAGTTTATTCCTGTGGCTTGTTTTTCTTTGTCATTCCACATTTAACATGAGGATCTGGATTCAATATGGCTACCAATTATTTCTGTCAAATCTATAGATAAAACAAAGGGGAAGTTTTCTGGTCCCAGTGATTCAATTCAGAGGCAGAATTGCTCAGATAACAAGTTCCAAATTTCTTTACAGAGTGTTACAGAACATAATGTTTTATTTGTTGCATTCTTTCTATTTTTTTAATAGTGTTCATTATTACTTGAGGTTTAGTGTTGTGTTTAGTGTCATGTTACACAGAGGAGATGTTCTGAGGGAGTTTATGTTCTTATGTCTTGCTGGTTTCCTGGTAGGAAACATGGTGTATGTCTGGAGAGAGGCTATGAAGACGTGAAAGTAAAATGCATAGCACAGTCTTGCACTGCATTGTACCACAAAGAAGTCATTGGTCTCCAGCCCTCCCCTTTTCTAAGGAAGCTGATATAATATGAGAATGAAGTAACATGATTTAAGAGCATTCTCTGGTAAATGAAAGAGTCTTAGCTTTTAGTGCATCCACTGCTAGAGTGAAGTCATTTGGCAGTCCGACAAGAGCACTCTCATTCAGCTGTGAACTTTGTTGTCTTGCTAGTTCTTCTCAGAATATCAATCCCTGCAGTGTTCCCAGAGTTGCTATGCAAGATTAAGATTCAAGCAGAAGGAAATAAGGGTTTAGGAAGGCTGTGTGATAAAAGCAAGATATTATTATTGGAACCATACTGTATATACTTGGAACAGTTCTGAATGGCAGACAAGTGATGGACAGCTACTTTTAAAGGTCCCTTTCTATGTTACAAGCTTAAATCCAATCAAACTGAATTATCAAATGAAGCAGTCATGATAGTTTGCTGGAAACATATCTCACTGAACCCAGCCTATGAAGATCCCTGGTTGGTTTCTTTCATTTTGGGAATTAGTATGTTGCTCCTATGCCCAGACTGTAGTTGAAGTGAATTAACTACAGAGAGGAATCGATCCATTAGGGCAATTCTGTTGTGGCTCTTTCCCTGCTTTCCACTGCATTAGATGTTTTCTGGAGGAGCTGAGATGAGCCTTGACATTCTTCTCTGCCTCACCTGAGGACACCAATGATCTACCCTTCTCTTTTTTCTCAAGTACCTGGACCAGGGAGGAGCTATGGTGCTTCTCCTAACTTTTGGAAAAGCATTTCAGGGCACCCGCACACACTGCTTGCACTGATGCTAGCACAGGTAGGAGTAATCCTTACCACAAAGAATCAGTGGCAACAGGTTTCAGTTGGCTTTGGTGGGGGTGGGATTACTCCCCTAAGCAGCATGGCCTACACCCTTCTGGCACCTTCTCTGCCTTTATGTTGACTTATTTTTAGAGCTGTGATACTTCCTGTGCTACAGCAATGCCAGTAGTGTCCCAGGAGGATGTTATGTAGTCCAAAACAATTAGGAGCCATAGTTCCCAGTGCATACAGGAAGCAAATTAAGTTTTCTGAAACTGTCCTTATCCCTCTTCTGCCTTCTAGATTTCTGCAGTCACTACCTTTGTCTCCTGCCTAATGAAAACTAGCTTGTTTTTTCAGGTTTGGTGCTTCCTCCTACTCGCTTGTATGCCCCAGGGCCCAATTTGAAGCTGCTTGTCCATCTTTCTCGGTCCCAAATGCCTGCCAGAGGAAGAGATCTTAGGCATTGGTGCTGGGACTAAGTCTTGATGTCCTTTGTCATTTGGGTGATGGCTTCTGGGGAAAAAGTTTGGAGAAGAGCCAGTTATACTGGAAGTAGTGATAATAATTAGCTACTATTACATTATTGCTTTATGTTAATAGTGGTTTGTTTGCCTTAGAGATGAAGTCACTTCCTTGAAAAATATAAAATTGAAATGACAACATCTGCACAAATAATTGGGGAAATAATGTGGTGAGAATGCTAATATTTTAAATTATTTCTTCCTGTAGTATGGAGAAAGATACTAAGGTGATACTGAGCCGTCCTAAAGAAGTAGGGGTTTGAGTGTGGGGATTTTTTTGGTTTTATTTTTTTACAAGAGCTTGGTGGAACTTGGAAGCAACTGACTTACTGAGCCCAGAATATGAGCTGGGGTTCAATTCTTTGTTTTCTGTAATACTCCAAACCTGTGTCATCCAGCAGCTGGCAAAGGAAGGGAAGGGAAGGAAAAGAACCTTTAGATGATACGTCTTTTGGCCCTCTGTACTGTCAAGAAGGTGGAAAGGGTCCAATAGTATTAGCGGACTTTTTTCCACAGACTTTTATAGATAGCTGTCTGACAGTTTAATTTACGTTGCAGCTAGTCCTCCTCGGCCTGTGTCGTTAGAAGAGCTCATGGAAACAGCTAAGGGAGTAACCAACATGGCATTAGCACACGAAATTGTTGTTAATGGAGACTTCCAGATAAAACCAGCTGAATTACCAGAACACAGGTAAGATTGTTGCCAAACAGATCCATAAATTAAATTTGCATTTGTAGAACTGCAGAACAGCTCTACTGGATCAGGTAAAGGCTCCAACTGGTGTATTGTCTGGCAGTGCCTGACACAAGATAAGAAAGAGCATAATAAGAAGAACGTAAGTGTGCAGTTCTGCTTCCTCAGAAGTGCGTGTGCATCAGAGTTGAACCTCTTGGAGTAATTGTTTGGGAGTGTGTGGTACGAATCCCAGTGTGGTGTGGTTTCCGTCAGTGTTCCCTTGTACCAGGATCCTGAGACCGTGGTCTTCTCAATACCCAAGTCTAGCTGCAGATGCAGGTAGTGCTCTGAGCATCTCATAAGTTTTCACTGCCTGAGGGACTAAGATTAAACTCTCTTAGCTTTTTCTGAGCCTAATGTCTGTTTCTCTGGGTTTTTGAGGGGAAGCCATTCCTGTGGTTTATTAGCTTAATACTTGTTCCTTTAAGGTTGACACCTTTACTTCTCTGTCTGTCCTACAGTAATTCTATCACCTGCTGAGAGGGAGAACAGAAGAGGCTTTGATGTCTGTGATTGCATATTGACCAGTGTAGCTGACCCAGTCCTATCACCAGATGCTTTGTGTGCTCTTCCTTTTTCTTGCACACACAGAGATGTGTCTGACAATGTTTCCTGTGTTAATTTGTGAAAGTGAGTGCATATTTGATGGAAGAAACTTGGTCCACATTGGAACCAGCGTGTTGTCTGTAGGTGTCTATGTTTGAGGGGGACCCCAGAGCACATTGCCTTCACGGGTGCTGCAGGAGAATATGTGATGTACGGATGGCTCTCAGAAGACTGTCATTGGTTGTCCACTATAGGAAGTGTTCACACTGAGACAGAAGGTCTGATGTCCATCTCCACCAAAACAAGATGACGGTGGTTCCTGTTAGCGTTAGTAATGAGAGGATGTTGCCTGGAACTAGAATTGTCCTTGACTGAAAAGGGCAGTAATGGGAACAGGCTCATCTTCCCTTCTCACCTGGACTATTCCTGGCTTTCCAGCTCTGACACCAGCGTATTATACCAGTGGTGTTTTATTAATGGCTGTGGACTGCTGAACAATCGTAACCAATGAAAATGTGTTCGTGCTATTAAATACACTGAACCTTGTGGTTCCAGCAGGAATTGTCTTTGAGTAAGGGTTGAATGGCATGGATGAGGGTCTTAGATATAATTTGTTCACTTGTCTCGGCCTCTGACTTGGTAGGAAATGGAATCATGGCCCCCTTAAATGCTGAGGACAAACAACATTGAACTGAGTTAGCACATGACAATAGACATCTCTGCTGTCCATCAAAACTCATATACTTTAGAGCTCAAGCAGTGATCTAATCTGTCTTTTCAGCACCATCTTGCAGTGTCTGCCTTGCCTGTTGGACTCAGGCAGCGTGGTCCAGTCCTCCTTTGTTGCCTTACTTGCAGGTCGCATGCAATTTGTGTCCCATGAACTGGGGCCTGTCTCCAGCCTACACAAATGCTATCTCTAAAGCAAGCATTTGGAAATTATGGCCAAGACAGGCAAAGCTCATTCTTCTCATTCTATGTTATCTTCCCTGTCGCAGCATCTTCTGGGGGAACTTCCATCAGGTGTTTTCTGCTCAGCAGTTGATGGCTGAGAATAAATGCTTCATCTAAAGCCCTGTAGTTAAGAGAGTGCTCTTCTGTTCCGTGTCTGCTTCTGCTGTGTTCCTTCACATGGATTTCTCACGTGAAAATGTGCTATGAGAGTGGATAACTTTTCTGATATGCCTCAGTGCCATAAAATTGATCTCAGCATTTTTCAGGGAAGAAGGATTTTAGCATGTTTTCTTTTTTCCACCCTTCTTTCTCCACTGCCTTTAAAAAAAAAAAAAAAAAAAAAAAGGAAAAAAAGGGAAAGAACTGTGACCGATTAGTACTTTGGAAAGCTGGATGGTTTTGCTCACTGATGCTGAGCAGTGGCTGTAGCTCACCAGAGTGGCTGATTTGCATCTCTTCACCTGATCACAGAAACAGGTATTGCAGAGATTACCTTGCTCAGGAGTGCCTGGGCTTTCTGACAGGCCAGGCCTGCTTTAGTGCAAGATCCCTGTAGTTGGCTTTTGTTGAGGGTTTTGTGTACAGCTAATTACCACTTAGAAAAGAAAGAAGAGTCATTCCGATTTTGCTTGAAGAGGGACCCTGGAATCTTCCTTGGATTAAATGTGGGGGGTTTTGTGTGTCTTAAGCTTGAACATACGTGTGGACAAGCGGCTGGAGGAGGAGGCAGGGGCAGGTGTGAGGGCGGTTGGGGTTGAACGCCCTGGCAGCAGAGCACATCCTGGTGGCTCTTGGAGGGCCACAGGCCGTAAGTGCCTCTGGGCGCTGCCTGAGCCGCGGCTGCACTCGGTGGTGGAGCCTTGGGAACCCCGTGGTCGTTGTGGGTGTTCTTTGTGCGCACACGGGTACGTGTGAGCACTGTACTTCTTTGGTCTTGAAGTTAAACGTGCTGTGAACAGGAGGCTGCCTGCTGAAGAGGAGTAACTTTTGGTAGTTTGAATTAGGAATTGGTACTGAAGCAGTGGAATTCATTTATTTTTTTTTACACAAACTGAACTGGGCTTTTATCCCAGAGTAGTTGCATTATTTATGTGTTGAAACACAGAAGCTTATGTGTCAGGTGGTTACTTCATTTCTGTTAGGTTTACTTAATGAATTTTACTTTGTAGAATTGTATTTACTTAGCGAGGTGTTTGATGGGAACATGAATACTGCTCTTTTGAAGACAAACTGTAACTTCTGTGTTTTCTTTTTTGTTCTTGTTGTTCTTCCAGTTTAGTTTAGAGGTAGCATATGATAGATAATTTCAGGGATTTTAATTTGAAGCCACCTTTGCTTGTGTGTAACCCTCTATTAGGATATAAGCCGTTCCAAATCCTATGTCCAGTTTTTCTTGCTTTTCTGAGTAATTTAAAATGACAAATCTCTGTTAATCACCATATATTCATTATTACATTAATGTTATCACATGCTGTTCTTCAGGAGCTGCAGGTTATCTTTGTAAGGTGGTGCAGAGACAAGTATTATTCTTTTTAACTGGTCATATTTGCCCACAGCTTAGAAAAAAAAGTAAGAGATATTGTACATAAAGCTTTCTGGGATTGTCTGGAAGCTCAGCTAAAGGAAGATCCACCAACATACGACCATGCAATTAAACTACTGGGAGAAATTAAAGAGGTAAGATGATGTGATATCAAGGTAGATTATTGAATTTGAGTAGCTACATTGATATGAATGAGCAAAAGTGGTTGAAGTTTGGATTTTCATAGAGGAGACTCTTGATCCTTTTCATTACTGTATCATTGTCTGTGAACATACTTAACTTGTGTAGCCCCAGAGGAGAAATTTGAATGGAAAAACAAATGCAAAACCATGTAAGATGATTAAAAGGTAAGTAATACTAGTGTTATAATTTCAAGCTTCCTCCATGTTATGACAGTGGTATTAGTTACGGAATCAATGAGGTGTCCCAACACTGAGCTGACAAAACCAAGCACAGTAGTCTTAAGTATGATCTGTTCTACAGAGTGTTCACTACTTTAGTAACTTCAGTATCATACAGAAAGAAGTGAAACATTTGGAGTTGGTGAATGGTTGGTTAAAAAAAAAAAAAAAAAAAAAAGAGATTCCACTTGTAAAGGGCGATTAGTTTAAATAAAAAGTGGTTCAATATCTGTTTTGATGTTTGTAGTCTTTGATATATAGAACTAATGCACTGTTACAAACTTTCCATTTCAGAATCTTCTGTCTTTCTTGTTGCCTGGTCATACTAGACTGAGAAGCCAGATTACAGAAGTTCTTGATCTGGATTTAATAAAACAGGAGGCAGAGAATGGGGCCCTTGACATTTCTAAGCTGGTCGAATTTGTTATTGGGATGATGGGGACTCTCTGTGCTCCAGCTCGAGATGAAGAAATTAAGAAACTGAAAGATATTAATGAAATAGTTCCTCTGTTCAGGTACTGAAGTGGAATTTATTAGTCATCTTGAGAGTCCCTTAAACAGTTTTAGATGGGGGATGTGTGTGTTTCAGCAGGGCAACCTGCAAATCTTTGCAGGGGGAAAAGAGTGATAGGGAAAGGGATGTAGTTGTGGGTATGAAAGGGAGAGATACTCCAGAAGTCATTAACAAGGACTGTCTTTGTTCTGGTGAATTGGAATATTTGTCTCGCTTCTGTATGTCACTGAAGGATATTTTCTTAAATGCCAAATGCATATAAGCCTTAAGATAGCGGGTGAATGGTCAGTTTGTATCAGAATTTAATATAATATTAACAGCAGAAGGGGGGAAAAAAGGCAAGCCAGGAGCATAGGAAAAAGGTATTATTATTCTCCAACCAGTTCATCCTTTCCCCCCAGTTTGACCTCTCTTTACCCCCATCCCACTCCCTGTATAATATCCTTTCAGTTCTAAAGGGAGCATATGTGCCACATCTGGGACTGTAGAGGCTTCTGCTTTGTCACCATGTTCTCAGTTGAACAGCTCAAGTTCTCAATAGAATAAAGTTCATCAACCTTGTTGTTTTCTAATTTGACAAGCTCCCAAGAGTTCAGGATTGACTTGGCAGAAATATTGCCTACAAGAATTAGGTGCTTTGAAATTAAGGTGGTTTTCTTTGGTGGGGTTTTTTGTTTGTTTGTGGTTTGGTTTTTTGGTTTGTTTTTTTTTTTTTTTTTTTTTCTTTCTTTCCTTTTTTTCTCCTTGGATCTGATTATTCACTTCCCATGGGCTCTATAGGCTGCCAACAGAGATAGTATGCAAGCTTGGAAACCCAGATGACTTTTTATGTATTCAACATATGATATTGCACATCCTGGGAAATATCATCTACAGAGCTAGTAGAGTTAATAGAGGCTTTTTTACAGGAGAGCAAGATTTATTTCCTACTTGGAAGAGGCACATGCATGCATATACATGCTCGCTCAAGCTTTCTCCCTGTCTCATGCTCTTAAATTGTTAAGCACCCTGTTAATGTTTCCCATGCATGTTTTTGCTCTTTCCTTAGACAATCTGTAATAAATCTTGTAAACAGTACCTCTTAAACATCTGCAGCCTTGAATAACTTTTTCTGTTTGTTTGTTTAGAGCAATTTTCTCTGTATTAGACCTAATGAAAATGGATATGGCAAACTTCGCTGTCAGTAGTATTAGGCCAAAATTAATGCAGCAGTCTGCTGAATATGAAAGAAAGAAGTTTCAGGAGTTTCTTGAGAAACAGCCAAGTATGACTTTGTTCCTTTCTTTCTTCCCTTCTGACCTCCCAGTAAACTGCGTGTCTTTGCCTGTAGATCATGAAAAGAAATCAGATTTTTTTATAAGTTCTAGAATTCATATGGTAAATGACAGCTTGTGCCCCAAAACTGTGGTTTGAAAAAATCTGCTGGAACAACAGTTCTGCACTTAGTATACTGGAGTTTAGTTCCATTTCAATACAGTGTAGGACATAATTACCTCCAGTTTCCTGTAGCTGTGTGGTTTTAATTTTGTTTCAGATGTTGTGCTTGATGCAATAAATGAAATGCATGTCAATAACTGATATCATGGGCATTACTAATAGTAACTAATGGGATTATTTGGAAATTACTAGTGGAAAAAACTAACTCTGAAAAGAAATTCTCTTAACAAGATTTCTTTTTTCCCTGCTCTTCCAGATTCTTTAGACCTTGTCACAAGGTGGTTGCAAGAAGCAGCAGATGATCTTGCTAAGCTGAGATGTAAAATGTTGCCTCCCCACAGTGGTGATGGTGCCTCTGGTGGAGCTTCCACTCTGTGCTCCACTGCTGTCCAAAATCAGGCCTATCTGAAGCTCCTAAAGTGGGATCATGTAAACAGGCCTTTTCCAGAAGTAGGTGTTTAACAGAAAAAGAATTTTCTCTGCTTGTTCTACTTTTCTATTTCTGGGATATAACAGAAGCTGTTTGGATTTGTAGTCTTGCAACAAGTACAATACTAAAACATTTATCTCTTGAGAGCTCTTGTAGCTCTTAAGTACTACTTTTTCAGTATTGAAACTTACTTAGTTGGAAAAGAGGAGTTTATTATTTTTATTTTGTTCCTGATACTCGCCTGCTGAGCACGTGTCGCTTTTTTCTGTGTCTTTCTCTCATCTTCACTGCTGTGAATAGGGAGGCATCACAATGTCACTTCATAGCCCAGCATACTGACTTTATTTTGTTGGCTTCCTCATTCCTTGCAGACAGTGCTAATGGACCAGATGCGCTTTCAGGAAATACAGCTGGAGCTGGAGCAACTCCTCGTGACTGGGACAGTCCTTCTGGTCACGTTCAGTGCAGCAGGCTCAGCACTCGTCGATGTGCCTGGATTTGCTGAAAAAATCAAAACCATTGTCAAGGTGCTGCTGTCAGGAATGCATCTTCCGTGAGTACTGAATAGTCCTAGTCACACAGAGGCAGGTGTAGTTCTGTTTTCACCCTAGTAAATAATCAGTTTAAGCCTCTCTCTGGCTGTGGACCCCAGAATACGTAGAGGAACTGATGAGGGCTTTTTGTGAGTCCAGGCTGACAATTTTTATTCAGCTTACTCAGACAGAGCTGTCTTTTCTTGCTCTGTAATTTTCTGATATTTACATGCTCCGTTTTTCAGAGTATGGTTTTCATGATGCCTGGTTGGCACGTGAGAGTGCAAGCAGCTAACCATGCTCACAGTTTGGGCCAGGCTCCCTTGAGAATTTAACTGTGGTACAGTACGCTGCTTGCAGATTTAGAATGACTGCTGTGCACATTATGGGTTGATAACTTTTTTGCACTAGAGCTGTCTCTGCATGCAGAAAAGTCAGCTCTTATTTGTATGGATTGTTCAGGCTGGAAATCTTTAATGCTATCCTACCTCCTTGTTTTACATCTCAACTTTGTTTTTCATATATATAAAATGTATTATTATTTATAGTTCTGGCTTTATCTGGATTATGCTGCTTCCATTACATTTGATAAATAAGGCAACTGTAATTGGACTGTTTATTTTTAAAAGGTGGGAAAAAAGTGAATAACTAAAACAGCTAAGTGGTGCCCTACTCCACATTCTCTAGGTCCTTCAACCTGAAGGAATCTTTGGCTACTATCGGTGAAAAGGTGTGTGCTGAGGTTAATGGCTGCCTTGCCCAGCACGGCTTTACACCGTTCTCAGCTGAGAGAGAGACTGTACTTAAAGGGCAAATCCGAGCAGTGGCCAATCCGGATAACACCATCTGCAAGCTAATAGGTATGCTTTGGCAAAAATGCTCTGTTCTCAAGTGAGCACTCATCTGGTTGTCTTTGTAAAACTGTTGGTGGCACGTCATGCATGGTTTCTCATTTCATCTGTTTCAAATACTTGTTTTCTATGTTCAGGCTTTCTGTATTTTACATGAGATTACGCTATTTCTAATTGACTGTCTTGTTTGAAAACAAAACCCTCGATCCAATTTTTCCAGATTCTCGAATTCAAAAGTTTTTGGAGAATTACCTTGCATCTAGTCACCAGAAATCATTACCTGCTGTTCCTGGAGGATTAGGCCCTATTCAAAGAGAGCTGGAGGAGATTGCTGTCAAGTATGTTCGTCTTGTCAACTACAACAAAATGGTCTTCAGCCCTTACTACGATGCTGTCCTTGGGAAAATACTGACTAAGGAAGAATCCCAACTTGAAGGGAAGTTAGAGGAATCATAAAACCAGTTTGTATGCTACCAATACGGTATTGTCAGCTATTTTAAAAAGTTGCACCAATGTATGTCTAGGAAAACAGCTTTCCATGTAAATACTGGTTCCTTTTAATTCGCTAGTGATTACTGATGAGGAAAACACATGAGATGCAAAAGGGGTTCTGAAGGAAACAGTGACAGAGAGATGCATTTTTAATGTAAGTATGCAACCGGGGAGGCGGGGTGTGTCTTGGTAGTTTTCGATTTTTGATCTGATGCTAGGTAGGACAAGTTTAAGAACCAAACTTTGTTTTTAATTGGCTCATTTGAGGGCATTTTACTCTAATTTACTGTGAATTTAGTTTAATTACTTCAGAGCAGATTTAGCAATGGTCCTTCCCAGAAGGGGTGATTTGGCTTTAAAAAAAAAATCTTACTTTGAAGACTTAAGAAGAAAGCTAAAATTCTAGTTAAGAGGAACTGTTAACAGGCAAAAAACAAAACCAAACAGCACTTTATTGTAACATTATGGTTAGTATGGTAGGCTACTAGGATTTTCTGCATTTTACTGCATTTGTAATAGCATTTTTTTGCTGTTTACCTGCAGATGTTACAAACACATAATATATTTTTGTAGCGAATTTTCTGGTTATTGGGTAACTGTCCTCTGCTATGTACAGTACTTACAAAGGTGGCAATCTTATAGATTGCAGCTGTATTTATCTCTTGTAAAGACTTCAGAAGGGCAGAGATAAAATGTTTTGATAAAAGTGGCATTTCTTACCTTTTTTTTTTGCTAGTAGTTTACTCCTTTTTATGTGAAATACTAATTTTAAAGTAAATCTTTGTCATTTTCAGAAGGTGGATTTAAAGTATGTGAAACTTCAGGCTGAAAATTTTACGTGTTTTTTAAAACTACAACTGGAGAGGGTTGCATATTCGATCCTGTCTTCAAAGATATCCAGGAAGTGCAGAGCACTATTGGAAGTCTAAGTGATTTTAATGTACTGTGAGAAGTGAATGATTTAATGTTAGTTTGAATACACAGGGAATATTTTCAGTAGAAGATTTTTTTCACTTTGTGGAGGTGTTCGTGAAACTTATAATATTTGTAGGTCTTGAATTTAGCTACATGTTGTATAGTGAGTGTTCACAGAAGAGCTCAATGATCTTACAGCCTTATTGCAATTTCAGACTCAGCTAGGAGGCAAGTATATTTGAAATTTTCCTCTAGCTGAGATCAATGCTTGATTACAGTAATCAAAATTTGATTTTATGAAAGCGAATTTCATAGTTATAAACAGCAAGTGTCCCAAGTACTAGACTATCCAAAATGGAATGTATTGTCTTTTTAAAAAAACCCCAACAAGTTATGGAAAATAAACGACGGGCCTTTTTATTGCTAACATCCAGGTTCATTTTATTAATCAACTAGTCAACCAAAATAATAGAACATCTAGAAGGAAGTCCTTGATTATGAATTGGTGTTGATGCTTCCCTTTCCAGTTTTCCTTTAAATGTCAGTGTGGATATAGCTGCACTAAATGAGTTTGGAGGAAGGCGGGATAAGACCTTTTATTTCATAGTAATCTATGCAACTATAAAACAAATCTTATAATAAAGTTCCAGGTGGGTTTTTGGTGCGATCTGTTTAATTGTTTGAATTGGCAAAGGATACTACAGAGGTCTTCAAGATTGCTGCATGTGCTTACTGTACTTTGGTATTAGTGCAGGATCCACCTCAAAATACAGCCTATAGCTCTGCAGCTCCAAAAAATTAATGCAGTAGTCTGTGTAACAAAAGAGCTATCAGAAACATTATTGCTAGAGATAGATAGATATAAAAAAAATAAGCAAGAAAAAACTGTTTTCATTTTTGTTAAATGACAGTTGCAGAAGTTATAAATTGCTGCTGTTATTTTATATTTTAGTACTGCCTAGAAGCTGCCTTTAAAGACCCCTGTGAATTATGCATACTGCAAAAATTTAGATGCTGTAGGAGATGATCTCAAGGATATGGGGAGGAACATCATCATGGTGGAACAACATACTTGGAAAAGGCTTTGAAAAGTATGTACATGACTGATGCCAGAATGAATGGGACTGCATTATCGAGAGATACAATTGTGCTTGCTTAATCTAGGAGATGGCTGCTCCCAGTTCTGGACTTCAGCGTCCAGATGTCCATGATGGCCAACTCCTGCTTCCGCTGCCATCGAAGCAGGGATTGCGCTGCGCTAGCGCTCGCATGTAACGTCATGTAAATGTAAGGTATTGCCCACTCAGTCAGTCCCATCTCCCCTCCCAGCAAGGCCTCATGTAGGCAAAAGGGCAGTACCTACCTCTGGCTCCAGTCTCCCATTTGGAGGGGTTGCTGTAGGCCTTCTACCAGTACAGCTCTAAAGAGACTGTACTAAATGCCCACAAGTGCAAATCATCTTAGTGATTCTTTCCTGGGCTGTTTTTTTAATGATAGTGGTTGACAAATAGTCTCTCTACATCACCTTTAAAAAGAATAGGGAGATGCAATTAAGTGGCAAAGCAAGAAGGACATATGAGGACCGATAAGGCCAGACCCTACCTCCATGGGACCATGGATATGGTTACGCATCTGCTGACTCACCTTTTAGGCTGGTAGACGGGAGCTCTGGCCTACAGGCGCCTCCACTGCTGGGGGTGGGGACGTCTTCCAGCTTGTGCGAGTGCCTGACTGGCCTGTAGTGCCCAGGGGTTCTTACAGTCTTAGCAGAGTGCAGTTCTGAATAGCCAATTACAAGTTAAAACAACCTGAAGTATCCTTAGAAACGGCTTTGAAAGTTCGTGTAGTGTTTTTGTTAGCTTGTTTAAAAATAACAGGTCAAGCTGTGTAGCTAGTATATTAACATTTAGCTTTGTACATTAAGTGGAAGACCAATGCAGTTATCCAGGAACAGATTGCGTTAGCCTAGTACTCCTGGACAATCCACATTAGAAATATGTACTGAATTTGTCTTATGATGCTGTCTTCTTTAAACAGTCATGGAATAAAAAGCAGAAGTATACCGTATCCTCTAGAAAAATGGAAAAAAAGCTAATTCTAGTATGTATGCTCTGATCAGTTTCCTGTGATGGTCTTATTAACGTTGCTTTTGAAGTGGCTGAGTAATATTTAAGAAGTAACTTGTGTTTGAATAAAAGCAGAATGAGGCATGATGTTATGGATATCCTTTTATTTTAAAGGAATGTTTTTTTCCCATTTTCAACTACAAAACAGATTCCATACATTCTGCCATAAATAAAACGAACAATAAGGCAGGACACTACATGAACAAACGGAGAACGACTGTTTTCCAGAAAATGTGAATTAAAAACGCTTCACAAGTATAAGCCATCCAGTTTTTAAAATAAAACTGTTGAAAACCCACAAGATTTCAAGTGGTAGATGTGAACACCCTTGAAGAACAAAATGCAGTTTTGACATTTTGCACTTTTCGTTTTGACAACCTAGTTTTGTTCAGAGCACATTCTAAGGTTGTTCCGGCTGTTTTCAGATCAAGAACCATATGGGAGAAGAGGCACCACAGTAACAAAACCATTTTCAAGATTTTTTTGTTTGCAGCTGTCCCTTTTAAATGCCTGACTTTTAAGAGACTGACGGACTCAATGCAAGTCTTTGTCTATCACAGTAGAACTCCAAACTTGTTTCACCGGATTCTCTTTTGCTGTCGTGCTCTGTAAATGTCGTGTACAGGCGGAACCACAGATCCTTTCTCCTCATCGTCGTCAGAATCTTCATGTGGTCTCTTCACAGCCTTATTGAGCATAGCATTATTTTCCACAGGTCCGTTGCCTTCCACAGCTATTTCAGGTAGGCCTCCGGTAATTATTCGTACAGCTTCATCAACAGCTTTAGACAGAGAAAAAAGACTGATTTGTGAAACTAAATTCCCTGATTAGAAATAAGCATGCAAAAAGGGATACCACAATAGATACATTGTGGAGATTTCTGGAAAATGAGACATCTTCCTACCCTGTTCTCCTACAAATGTTAAGTCTTGACTGTCTAAAACTCTGAGCCACGGCAAACACTAATTATCAAGCAAATGCTGTTGCTTCAGCTTGAGACCTCCCTTTACACAAGTACTGAGGTCATTTGCAAGCTTAATAAAACTGGAAAGCCTCGTGGGGAAACAGTAGAACTAGTTCGTGATTCATCAGAAAGTAGGCAGAGCAAGTCAGTTTCTACTTATCAACAGAGAGAGCTTCAAAATTTTACATGTAGTATATATATATTTATATATATAATTTAAACAGATGTTTTATTTTCACTCTAAAAGAAATTAAATCCCAGCTTGCTTTCTCTCTGATCATTTGCTCCTTAATATGCTACTTTTCACCCCCTCTCTTAGTTTATCATCTGCCATAGTTTACATGAAGCCTTGAGTAGGGATCTGCCCTGGTTTGATATTTCAGAACGCTACCTTTGTTGTAGGAGCTCAGAAAACACTGCTCCTGAATTGTTCTCAAGCACTGCAACAATGTGCATTCCGAGTTATGCCTACCAATGAACTTAGCATACTGTAAATCTGTAATCTAATGTTATAGTTACAGTGCTGCTAGAAAACAATGCCTCGCTGCTTTTAAAGGATATTCTGAAAATCCTAATTTATTTCTTTTAATCATTATCTCCAAAATGTTGTTGAAGTAGCAGCTGGTGATTTTTCAGCTTTTTTTTGGCCTTGTTGATCTCCCCCCAGTTAAATGTACAAACATCTCTATGTAGACTCCAACCTACAATGTAGCCGATCCAACAGTACACTTACATAACAATTACACATCTGTAAATGAGGTCTGGATTTTAGACAGCAATATCCATATGTAAAACAGAGACACAGGCAGCACAATCACAGACTCCAGAGCAAACAAACAACTTACTGTCTGGCAGTTTGCATCTTCTAAATATCTCCATGAGCTCATCCACTTGAACAAAGGGCCCCTGATTTGTTACAAAAAAAAAAAAATTTAGATTATTTTCAATAGAGTGATACACAGTGTGGTTCTGTCAAAACAGAATCTCTTCTACAATTTTTTGAAGTTTTCAGAATTCATTAAAACAAACCTGAAAACAGACAGGAGGTGGCAGGAGCTTCATGAGAACTACAGCTGCTGGTGGAACAGGAAATACACCACCTGGGACGGGATGTAAACCTGGAGCTGCAGGAAGAGAAACTGTATGAAGCCAGTGCAGGACAGCTAGACTTGAATTGCTTTTGCAGCATTATTACTCGAGGCAAATAATTACCACCCTGTCACTTTTGCTTCTACTAATTACATATTGTTTAGTCAGTGATCTGAAGTCTATAAGCAGTGTATGTAACAGCTTATTACCATTTACCAGAGCCCAAACTACTTGTACTTATTTCCATGTGACCTTGTTATTAAGTAAAATGTGTATGCCTTTAGCAATTCAATTAAATAACAGCCTAAAATTTAAGTACATGTTTAGCTGACCGAAGACTAGGACAGTCTCTGTGATTAGGTTTGCTAAACACAGAGGTTAGTAACTTGCCATCAGGTGAAATACAACCACTTCCGACTGAGCATCTGACTTACGTGCTAAGTGTCTTGGCTGAAATGGAATCATTTGTTGAGTGTCTGGTTTTGGATATTCGGGTTTTCTGTCTACTTCATCTTTGAGAACAGGCACGATGGAAGGTGCAACCACAGGGTCTGGAATTATGGCAGCCAGCTTGGCACGGGAGACATCCTGCAAAAGCCAATTCAAGAGCACCCAACTTGGCAGGATCACACCGCTTGGTTAAATTACAGAACAAAACATCTCTAGACCAGTCGCTTATTTTCGCTTTGTCATCATTACAATTTCAGATGTCCTCTTAGAAGACCATCTGGGCAAAACTTGCATGTTTTCATCAAACATTTAGTCCCACAGTGTCTCAGCTGGGAGTGGAAACACTCATTTTTGTTACATATTTGTTATTTTTGAGTGGCTCCTTTTTTTAGGTTAAGAATATTTAGGTGAACAGGTGCAGACCACTAGGCCTTCACAGCTATCATTTCTCCCTCATTTCATTCCCTCGATTGCTTTAGCTGGAAAGGAAACAAAGCATAAGGCAGTCAGCAGGCCTGCAAAGCATCAGTTCAAATCAGATTATATTCTGGCATGTCACAAGCAACAGAGATCGGCCCAAGGGCTGAATCATCTTCGGTTCACACCACCTCACGTGCATTTATCGAGATGTACTCTCCTGTAAGCACACCTGTAACTTCAAAATAACTTCATCCCAATTGTGTTAAAAGTATTCAGTGGCTCAAAGCGACTCTTCTTTTCACCTATCAGATTATTTTACCACTATGTAAAGACCAACGATTCTGCTAACTTCGATGACTTCTGTATTTCTCAAAAATTACTTTTCTGTCTAAGAAATAAATGGAAGCTGAGGCACTATTTTTGAGACATAAAGTGAAGGCTCTCTTTCTGTTCACGCAAATGGGAAATGGCAGTTCCTCCAGCAGAGCTGTTTCTGCTTCTCTGGCAGCCTGTTTTACATCATGCTTAAAAAAAAAAATCAACATTTTATTCTACTCTAATGGTTTTCCAAAGTTTTATGGCCTTCCGCACGACTAGAACAGTAGGTAAAATACATGTGGCCTGAAACGAGATGGGAGATCACCAGAAACAGGTGTTTGGCCTTGACTTTAAATTCCAAATAGTGGCACCAAAGCACTTGAGCCATAATAAATAACAGAAGAAAAGCAGGCAGCTACTGATCTCGACAGCCAATTCTCCTCAGCTACTTGCAGCAATCATGGGGACTGCAGTAGGTTTGTTTTGGTACGGTTCTCAGGGGAGTGAGTGGAGTTTTGCCCGCTGGAGGGGAAGGGCAGCCAGGGATGTTTCATACAGATGACCTCGTTCAACAAACTTCCAAAAGAATTCTGGTTTTTGAAGGAGCTCAGGTTTAAGTTTGAAGTGGAGGCCTGTGCCTGCGTGGTGACGGCATTAACACATCCCCCCTTCCACGGGAAGATGAGGGCTCAATATGACTACACGAAGTTGCGTCTGTTATCCATGGTCCTTGGTTCTTTCTGCCCCGGGCCCGCAATGCCTGGCACTTGCCTGCCCAAGACAAGGAAGCGGCACACCAGACCTGTTTTACCAGCTCTTCTATCAAGGGAAAAAAATGTAAGGCAAATCCTAAACAAGGAATTGCTTAAGTTTGCTGGGACTGAAAAGAAAAACAGTAAAATTAAGTGTTCTTACCCACTTACCTTATAACCAAGGGCCTTCAGTTCGCTGGCAGAGCAGGGGTACAAATCCATGAACTTATACCTGTCTACCAGCAGAGCTGTTTCTTTACCCTCATATTCTTCCTTGAATGCCGTAAACCTCCGTTTTTCAACTTTCAGTATACTAGCTAGATCACCAATGTTGCTTTCAAAAGCTAAAAACCGAGCCCAGATTTCCCTATAAAATAACAGACAGACAGACAGTCGCTGAAGGAGGAAGAATCACTGATAGCAGCCCAATTAAAAAACACACGAGGAGAGATTCAAATGAGGTAATTTGGGAACACATGACCGTTTCTGTTATTTACTTTAGCTGCAACTATAACATGCATTACCTTCCCAGTGCCTTATGTATTTCTGTAAAAGCTTTCAGTCTACTGGATTGTAAAGGACTTTGTTATGGAAAGGAAAGGGTTACTGGTGTAAATGAGTTCAGCATTTGAGATAAGCTTTCATCATCAATGTAGGATGCACAAATAGACGTTACTCATCCTGCTACATAGAATTTCACTCTGATCCTGATATGTAAAGGACTTTTTAACATAGAATATGATTTAGTTCATCTGCATAGACTAGCATATTCCAGCAGGAGGGAACAATACCCTATAACACAACAGGCAGCACTTCAGAATTTCACATAGCCCACAATATATACAACTACTGCTTATTTCTCAGTGGAAAATCTCATCTGTAACTTAAGCAACATCTGACCATACTTCTGGACTTGATTCAACTTTCATTTTAGCTTTCGAGTTTACCTTTGAAGAAGATTCAGCATTTAAATTCTTGGCTTTTCTCACTTCTAAAATGGACATAAAAATATTTCTCACAAAAGCTCAGAATTAAAGTGCAGAATGAATGTGCACAGCGGTGCAGTGTTTGATTTCTTAGTTCTGATGCCTACG